TTAGAATGGCTACTCCAGCTTGTTTCTTGGGACTGTTTGCTTGGAAACTTGTTTTACAGTCTTTTTCTCTGAGGTAGTGTCTGTCTTTGTCACTGAGATGTGTTTCCTGTATGCAGCAAAATGCTGTGTCCTGTTTACATATCTAGTGTTAGTCTATGTCTTTTTATTGGGGAGTTGTATCTATTGATGTTAAGAGATATTAAGGACCGGTGATTGTTGCTTCCTGTCATATTTGTTGTTAGAGGTGGAATTATGTTTGCGTGACTATCTTCTTTTGGGTGTGTTGAAGAAAGATTAATTTCTTTCTTTTTCTTGAGTGTAGTTTTCCCCCTTGTGTAGGAATTCTCCTTCTATTATCCTTTGAAGGGCTGGATTTGTGGAAAGATATTGTTTAAATTTGATTTTATCATTGAATATCTTGGTTTCACCGTCTACAGCAATTGAGAGTTTTGCTGGGCTTAGTAGCTTGCGCTGGTATTTGTGTCTTCTTAGGATCTGTATAGCATCTGGCCAGCATCATCTGGCCAGCTTTTAGAGTCTCTGTTGAGAAGCCTGATGTAATAATGATAGGTCTATCTTTATATGTTACTTAACTTTTTCCCTCTTATTGCTTTTAATATTCTTTCTTTGTTTTCTGCTTTTGGTGTTTTGATTATTATGTAACGACCAATTTCTTTTCTATTCCAATCTTTTTGGGGTTCTGTATGCTTCTTGTAATATGCCATGCTTTATGCTTCATAAACATGCCCATGTCTTTCTTTAGATTAGGAAAGTTTTGTTTTATAATTTTGTTGAAGATGTTTACTGTCCCTTTAAGTTGGGGACCTTCGGTCTTTTATGCCAATTATCTTTAGGTTTGATATTTTCATTGTGTCCTGGATTTCCTGGAAGTTTTGGGTTAAGAGTTTTTGCACTTTACATTTTCTTTGACTGTTTCGTCAATGTTTTCTGTGGTATCTTCTGTACTTGAGAATCCCTCTTCTATCTTTTGTATTCTCTTGGTAATGCTTGCATTTATGACTCTTGATCTCTTTCCTAGATTTTGTATTTCCAGGGTTGTCTTTCTTTATGATTTCTTGATTGTTTCTATTTCCATTTTTAGATCCTGGATGGTTTTGTTTAATTCCTTTACCTGTTTGTTTTTTCCTGTATTTCTTTAATGGACTTGTATGTATTTCCTCTTTAAGGGTTTCTACCTGTTTATCTGTGTTCTCCTGTATTTCTATAATGGTGTTATTTATGTCTTTTCTAAAGTCCTCTATCATCATTGTGAGATGTGATTTTAAATCCGTATTTTTCTTTTCAGATGTGTTAGGATATCCAGAGCTTACTGTGGTGTGAGATCCTGGTTCTGATGATACCAAGGAGCCTTGGTTTCTGTTGCTTATATTCTTGTAATTGCCTCTCACTATCTGGTTATCTCTGGTATTTGCTGGTCTTGTTGTCTCTGACTGGAATTTGTCCTTCCTGTGAGCCTTCTTTGAGCCTATGGTCTTATGTGTGTCAGCACACCTGGGAGACAAGCTCTCTCTGGGTGGTTGAGGTGCTTATAGTTGTGGTACAGGATCAGCTTATGGCGCAGATGGAAACATTAAGGTTCGGATATCTGGCTGCTCCAAGATTGCTGGGTCCTGTGAGTTCCGAGCTGGTCTCACTTGGGCCTGGTATTGGGCAGGAGTGGTTGTTTCACCTATCATCTTAGATGTGTCAGCAGTCCGGGGAGGCTGTGTCTCTCCTGGGAGGATTGGGGTACAGGTCGTTTGTTTTGTTGAACTGTTAAGCTATTTCATTGCAAATTAATTTTATCACATTTACAGCATTTATAATATATACAATTTTATACCATTAGTGTTTCATAATATGTTGAATCATTAGTGTTTGTCATGAGGATTTGACAAAAAGTGTTACCTTATTTCATTAAGCTAATGGGAATTTACCTTTAATTCCATGCAGTTTGAACTCTGCATTAACGCCCCTATTCCTGATCATTAATTTTAGAACTTAGTGTTTCTGCACCATGCATTATTCAGGGAACTTGACAGTTGGATCACTATTATGAAATCATGGTGTGGGATTCCATAGTGTACTTTGACATCAGCTATACTTGAGTTACACTGGTAAGAACATAAAAGCTATCATGCATTGTATCAAGTTTAGCTTCATGTATAAAGTTGTCTTTGTTCCAGGATTCAGCTAGCAGAAAAAATATTTCAGGTGTTACTGTGGATATGTATGAATATACTATTCATATATCCAAATAATCGGTTTTAAGAAATTGAAATTATTATCTATAATATAAATGAATTTCTAGAAAATGCAAGATTTCTCAAACAAACAAACAAAAAAAGAGGATATTCTGCCTCATGTGTATGAAATTAACTCTACCTGGGTTTCCAGGTAAATGGCCTATTCTGAAAGTCTCACACACTCACATCTACCTTGACCATCTTTATTTCTTTTTCCCAATTTGTCTTTTTATGTTCATGTGTCTCACATTCTCTCCTTTCCCCCATCTCTCCCTATATGGATATACATATATGTGTATATATGAAATAATTATACAACATAAATACATTTCATATGTAAATGTACATATGCTAATACATACATAAACAGTTTTGTTCATATTTATATTGGTTATTTTATTTATTTACATTTCCAATGATATCCCTATTCCCAGTTTCCCCTTTAAAAACCCTCATCCATTCCTCCCACCTCCTGCTTCTATAAGTGTGTTCTCCCACTCACCCACCCACCTGCCCACTCCCCTACTCCAGGTCATCGAGCCTCCATAGGACCAAGAGGCTCTCTTGCCATTGACACCAGATAAGGCCATCCTCTGCTACATATGCAGCTGGAGCTGAAGGTCTGTCCACGTGTACTCTGTGTTTTGTGGTTTAATCCCTGGGGACTTTCGGGGGTCTGGTTGGTTGATTTTGTATTTCTTCCTATGCGGTCGCAAACCCTTTCAGCTCCTTCAGTCCTTTCTAACTCCTCCAATGGGATCCCTGTGATCAGTATGATGGTTGGCTGTGAACATCCACATTGCATCTGTATTGGTCAGGCACTGACAGAGCCTCTCCAGAGTGGACAGTTATACTAGGCTCCTGTCAGCAAGCTCTTTTTGGCATCAGCAATAGTGTCTGGAATGGTGTTTGCAGATGTGTTGGATCCATGGATTGGGCAGTCTCCAGATGGCCTTTCCTTCAGGCTCTGATCTTCTCTTTGTTTCTTCATTTCCTTTGACAGGAGAAATTCTGCATTACTATTTTTGAGGTGGGTGAGTAGCCCCATCTCTCAACCGGAGGCTGTGCTTGTCCACTGGGTATGGTTTCAACAGGTTTTATCTCTCCTTTGTTGGGTATTTCAGCTAATATCCTCTCTGTTGGGTCCGGTGAACCTCTTGGGTCCATAGCATCTGGGACTTTCTAGTGGCTACCCCCACTTTCCCCTCTCCCTCCTCTACATACCTCCTTTCAAATTCCTGACCCTATGTAATTCTCCCACATCTCTTTCTGTATTAGAACTATGCCCCTTTTCCCTCTCTTTCCTCTCTTCCTCCCAGATCCCTCTCACTCTCTCCCTCCTGAGATTTTTTCTTCCCCTTTTCAGTAGAACTGTAGCATCCACAATTTAGTGTGGTCTTCATTCTTGGGTTTCATATGATTTGTGAGTTGGATCATCAGTATGCCAAGCATTTTTTTTGTGGCTAATATCCAATTATCAGTGAGAACATACCATGTATGTTGTTTTATGACTGATTTACTTCACCCAGAATATTTTCTAGTTTCATTCATTTGCCTAAGAATTTCATGAAGTCATTGTTTTTAATAACTGAATAGTACTCCATTGTGTAAATGTACTATATTTTCTGTACCCATTCCTCTGTTGAGGGGCATCTGGATTGTTTCCAGCTTCTGGCTATCATAAATAAGGTTGCAATGAACATAGCAGAGCATGTGTCCCTGTTGCATGTTGGAGTATCTTTTGGGTATATGGCCAGGAGTGCTACAGCTGGTTCCTCAGGTAGAACTATGTGCAATTTTATGAGGAACTGCCAGACTGATTTCCAGAGTGGTTGTACCAGCTTGGAATTCCACCACCAAGCCCTGGATACCTCAACACACCTGAAAAGCAAGATTCAGATCTAAAATCCCATCTCATTAATATGATAGAGGACTTTCAGAGGGTCATATACAATACACTTAAAGAAATACAGGAGAATACAGATAAACAACTAGAAGCCCTTAAAGAGGAAACACATAAATCTCTTAAAGAAATACAGGAAAATATAGTCAAACAGGTGAAGGAATTGAACAAAATGTTCCAGGATTGAAAAACAGATATAGAAACATTAAAGGAAACAAAAAAGGAGATGGAAAACTTAGGAAAGAGATCAGGAGTCACAGATACAAGCATTGCCACCAAAATACAAGAGCTAGAAGAGAGGACATTGACACAATAGTCAAAGAAGATATTAAAAAGCAAAAAGTTGCTAACTCAAAGCATTCACGAAATCCAGGATACATTGAAAAGACCAAACTTGAGAATAATAGGTATAGGTGAGAGTGAAGACTCTCAATGTATGGTCCAGTATACATAAACAGCTTTAAAAATATATTTCACATGTTAAATGTCTCTGGGTGTTCCTAATGATTCAGGTAGAGTATCTAGAAGGGAACTTACCATATTACATAACATTATAGTAAACAACTTAATATTTATGAAGATAATAGTATTCAAGTGACAGCTATTATTATGGAAATTAATTCTAAGTACTTATCATACCATACAATTTGACAAACAGCCACATATTAACAGCTAAACATAATAAAATCATATGCAAATCAAGAAAAAATTACTTGATTTTTCACACATAATGTTCAGTTTTAGAGAACATAAATGAACAGTTTCAAGACAAATGCTAGTGATCTATCAAACAATTTAAGATATTCTCAGTTGGTTCTTTTCTCTTTCAGATAAACTTGTACTTTGAGATTATGGCCAACTCCACCCTGGTGACTACATTTCTCCTGGAAGGTTTTGCTAAGTCTTTGGAGCTCAGGATCCTACTCAGTGTGCTGTTCCTGTTGGTGTACCTGGGCAGTCTGCTAGGGAATCTTATTATCATCATTGTTACTACGGTTGACCATACCTTGAATACACCCATGTACTTCTTCCTCAGGAATCTTTCAATTTTAGACATGGTCTACGTTTCTGTTACTGTGCCCAATGCTTGTATCAACTCTCTCACTGATCACAGGAAAATTTCTGTTCCCGGATGTGCAGCACAGATCTTTTTGTTCTTCTTTTGTGCATGTGTAGAGATTCAGTTTCTCACCATCATGTCCCAGGACCGCTCTGTGGCCATCTGCAAGCCTCTTCTCTACACTGTGATCATGAACCACCAGTTCTGTGTTCAGATGACACTGGCTTCCCTACTTAGCTCTCTTATCCTTGCAAGTGTGCACACTTTTCAAACTTTCCAGCTGTCCTTCTGTCACTCTAATGTCATACCTCAGTTCTTCTGTGATATCCCCTCTTTGCTGAGGCTTTCTTGCTCTGACACCTTTATCAACCAACTCTTACTTTTCCTGACTGCCATTGGGCTCAGTTTTAGCTGCTTTGTATTCATTGCTATATCATATGTTCGAATATTATCAGCTGTGTTGAAGATTCCTGTCAAAGGAGAGAGAGGGAAGGCCTTTTCCACCTGCATACCTCACATTATTGTGGTGTCTGTGTTTTTTAGTTCTGCTGCCTATGTGTATCTAAGACCTCCAGTACTAACACTGGAAGTAGCTAAGGAGATGACTCTTTCTGTATTTTATACCATTGTTCCACCATTCTTAAATCCTATCATCTATAGTCTTAGAAACAGACAGATAAAGGAGGCTGTGAAGAAAGTAATATTAAGAATTACTTTCATATTTGAATATAAAAGGAATGAGTACTTGTAAGAATTTTCTAGAGGAAGAAAACTGAGAAAATAAAAAAATATTTATGCACAAATACACACATGTGCACACACGCATACACACACACACACAGCAGATATAGAATCAGTTCTACTTGTTCAAATACAAAAGAAGCTCATAAAAGCACTAAAATGAAAGCAGTAATACATATCCACATTACATAGAGAGATAAGATATAGAAATATACACACACACACACATACATACATACACACACACACACACACATTTATGTATGGTAAAACAATAAAAACTCTGACAAGGAATATGAGGTAAGCAATCTCTAAGGATACCTATAAATTTGTTTTCTGCTTGCCATTTACTGATAGGCATGCATCCTTCCTTTAAGAGTAATTTGTTTACCCAGTCAGACTCCCTTATAGGAACCTAATCTAATACTTGAAAATGATTATCAATTAGAGATTGTTTCCAAGTTAGAGAGAGATACTTATGTCCACTTTTCAGTTTAGCTCTCATATGCTTTATGTTGAGAACTATATAGAACCATGTATACTAACTCACTCTCTGTGAATTCATATGAGTATAGATCATTTTGAGTTGTTTATCAGTGTTCTCAGTTACTAACTGACAAATAACCACATCCTTAGATTTAATGATATCATGTTTAGAAATGCAATTAATCTTTGTCTAAGAGCTTAGTATTTTATCTTACTATATTTTCAGCAAACCTTATATATGCTCGTGTACCCAGGATGAATAATATTCACAAAATTATAAAATGATTATAGCAGAAATCAGAGACTTTATTAAATTACTTTCATTATAATTCCAGAAGACAAAATACTTAGTATTTGGTTACTATTTCAAGTTAAAAATAATATATATGGAATCATTTTTAGTTTTGATTACACTAACTTGTAAAACTTTTTAAAGATTTATTTGTTTTATTATATGGGCATTTATGTTTTGCCTGTATGTGTATTTATGCACCATATATATTCAGTGCCTTCAAAAGACACAGGCATTGAATCATCTGCTACTGGAGTTACATGGAGACTGTTCTTCAGTTCCACACGGATGCTGAGATCTGAACCAGGTCTCCTGCAAGAGCATCAAGTGCTCTTAACTGATGAACCATTCCTCTGGATTCAGCATTTAATCTCTTTAACATTACATTTTTCTTTCATTAATAAAATAAAGGTTCACAATAGCTTTTTAAATTCTCAGAAATTCTCTGTATCTTTTTTATGTTTCTATACAGTTTGGCCATTCTCTCTCTCTCTCTCTCTCTCTCTCTCTCTCTCTCTCTCTCTCTCTCTCTCTCTCCACCTCCCACCTCTCTCTCTCTCTCTCTCTCTCTCTCTCTCTCTCTCTCTCTCTCTTTCTCTCTCTCTGTGTTTGTATGTAGGTCTTGGGGCATAGTGGTTCTATAGGGTTTGATTTTTGAAAATGTACTTCAATAGGGGTTCTTAAATGCTTTGACCTCCCTTTTAGCCTACCTCCCACCAGAGAGAGTAGAAAGAAAATGTTCATAGAGCAAAGAAGGATGTGGATCTGTTTAGAAATAGGTTTTTGGGTAATTACAATCTTGGGTAATTATAAAGGTATCAGAAATTTACGTTTCATGAATTAACAGCAGTAGCTCAATCCACTTGCAAATAACATTCATGAATCAGCCACTGCAGTACAATCCAGTAGAAACCGTGAGGCTTTGCCAATCAGTCTGAGTCCACAGAAGTGGAAAGAACATGACCAGAAGTTCTTTGGTGGCATTTTTCTTTAAGAAGTAAGGACAAACAATAACCAGCAACAAATGGTAAGGCAAGCCAATACCACAAATCATTGTTCACTGTCTGTTGGATATACTTATACCCTTTCCAAATACCACATGTCCTCACAAGCATTCACTCCAGCAAACTATCACAAGCCCCTTTTCTAGGCATCTTCCAAATGAACACCATGTATCTGTTCTCAGCAAAACATCCTCCTACATGTCTGCTTCTGCAAAACATCCTCTCATAAGACAGTTTCCTGAAAAACATCAGATGGCAAAACCCATCCTCCAAAGAAACCCAGAAATTTCTACTCTATATCCTACATTCTGTTTAAAAAAATTTCTTTCTCTAATATTATCCATCTGTGCACAATAGAAACAATTATAAGAGCCAAAGAACTAAAACTGTACATCATACCTTAAACAAACAACTTACGTACATGATAGACAAACAATTACTTCACAAAATAACCTTTAATTTCTATCAAATATACAATAATTAAGCAAAGCAACTATAATTTTTTGAGGCACACATAGGGTGTTTTAAGTTTATGACTCTTATGAATAGAACAGCAATGAGGCTATATCAGCAAGTGTCTCTGTGGTAAGATAAAGCAACATTTAGGTATAAGTCACAGAATGACATAGTTGGATCTTGAGGTAGATTCCCATTTTCCTGAGGAACCATCACATTGATTTTTATAATGGCTTTTCATCTGCATACCAATCAGCAATAGATTTTACTTTTATTTCCCTGATAACTAATTTGTTAGACATTTCTTTAAGTGTGTCTCAGCCACTTCAGTTTCCTCTTTGGAGAATTCTGTGTTAGAACTGTATCCATTTCCTAAATGGGTTCTCTGTTTTCTTGATATGTAGTTTCTTGAGTTTTTTTAAACATTTTGAATATTAGCCTTACACTGGATATGGAGTTGTAAAAAATATTTTTCTATTCTGCAGGCTTCCATTTTGTTCAGTTTGTTTAAATGAATGATGATGTAGTATAAAACCTATATAATTCCATTTTTGAAGAAGCTACTTGTTTTTTTTCAAGTGAGGGCTAAACTCCAATACCAGGGGGGAAAATCACAAAGTTCACCTGAGCAAATATCCTATGGCAACTCACCCCCTTATTCACAACCAATAAAGCTACAGTAGCTGGACCAGTTTACATCAAAAAAACTTAAGTCATCCTGCAGAGAATAGATAGCCTGATCATCCTATTTGTCAGGTAGCTCTGCTCTTTGTTCAAATCCTTCAGATTACAACAGAAATGCAATTTTTAAAATATTAGCTTGCTGACCTGCATGGAAATTTCCCAAGTTTGCTGTAACCATAATAAAAGACTTTGAACCCCTAGACTAGGGGCTCTCACTCTAATCCACTGGTAGGGGATGGTGGGAGACCTTCCTCTAGAGCTTGTAATAAAGACCCTTATGTGTTTTACATAGGAATTGAATATTTGGTGGTATTTGGGTATCTGAAACTTGGGCATAACAATAGAAACTTCTAAGTCTTATGAGGGACCGTTTATTATTTCTTGATCTTAGATCATGTCCCAGTGGTGGTCTATTAAGAAAGTCTTTTACTTTGCTGTGGAAAGCCCTTGATGCTGCTTCTAGGATACTGGCAAGTGTATTTTCAGTAGGCAAGGAAGACAAGGGTCTAGGCTCAGATAAGAATATTTGCATTTGACTAATATAAGGCTAAAGGTAAATATAGTTAAGGAATATATGATATTCCTTTTATTTTGGTCATTCTGATAAGTCCCTAGACACAGTGACTATGGGACTTCGTTTATTGCCTTGTTTGATTACTTTGTCTTTGATCTAAGAACTGACCCTCTTCTTTGCAAGTACCTAGAATGGTATAAAAGCATACCGGGAAAAAAATAAACCTGTTTCAGCACTGGATGGAGTCATGCTATAATGTTCTCTAATTGTATTTTATTTCATTAATCCTCCCTCCCTCACTTGAGACCCTGTTGACCGACTGTTCTGCCTTGGTCACTTTGCCAGTGAATTCAAGGTTATCCTCAATTTCTCTGTATCAGGTTTCAATATATCCATATTTACGTTTAGGTCTTTCATACATTTGTAGTTGAGTCATATTCAAGGAGATGTGCGTCTACTTATATTTGTCTTCTACATGTAGCTATCCAGATACAGGAGCAGCCCCATTTGTGGAAGATGGTGTATTCTTTCCACTGCATATTTCTGGCTTCTTTATAAAAAAAAACTGGGTGATAGTAGGTGTATGGATTTGTGCCTGGATTGTCAAGTTGATTTTATTGATTAATGTGTTTGTTTAGTGGCATTGACATGCTTTTATTTTTTTCTGTATTTCTGTAGTACATTTTGAAGTCTTCAATGGTGATACTTTTAGCACCTCTTTTATTATTCATGGTTATTTTAGCCCAGAAAAACTACTGATTTGTTTGAGTTAATTTTGTATCCAGCCACTTTGCTGAAGCTGTTTATCAGCTGTAGGAGTTCTCTAGTGGATTTTTTTGGGTCACTTATGTATACTATCATATCACCTAAAAATAGTGGTATTTTAACTTTCTACTTTCCAATCTGTATCCTTTTGATCTCCCGTTTTTGCCTACTTGACTTTTTTCCTTTACTGCTTTCAATATTCTTTCTTTGTTCTGTGCATTTGATCTTTTAATTATTATGCGATGGGAGGAATTTCTTTTCTCATCCCATTTGTTTGGAGTTCTGTATGCTTCTTGTATGTTTGTGGGCATCTCTTTCTTTACGTTAGGGAACTTTTTTACTATAATTTTGGTGAAGATGTTTGCTGGCCCTTTGAGTTGGGAATCTTCACTCTCTTCCATACCTATTATTCTTAGGTTCTGTCTTTTCATTGTGTCCTGGATTTCTTGAATGTTTTGAGTTAGAATCTTTTTACCTTTCATATTTTCTTTGACTGTTGTGTCAATATCCTCTCTTCTATCCCTTGTATTCTGTTGGTGATGGTTGCATCTGTGACTCCTGATCTCTTTCCTAGGTTTTACACCTACAGTGTTGTCTTGCTTTGTGTTTTCTTTAATGCTTCTATTTCCACTTTTAGATAGTGGAATTCAGTTTTGTTCAATTCTTTCACTTGTTTGATTGTGTTTTCTTGTATTTCTTTAAGAGATTTATGTGTTTCCTCTTTAAGGAATTCTACTTGTTTACCTATGTTCTCCTGTATTTCTTTAAGTGAGTTATTTATGTCCTTCTTAAAGTCCTCTATCATATTC